GTAACTTTAGCTTCATATGTAACTTAAATACCGTAAAGAGTTATGAATATTTTCTTATTGTTTCTGTGACAGCCAAACCAGCAAAATCATTGACTGTTTCAGACTTGTTAAGGAAAATTTTTGTCATTATCTTATAAGTTTGCTTCTTTAAAAAGAAAACAGTACTACTGTGTCTTAGATATCACTCAGTGGTAACTGCTCTTAAAATGCTTAATTTCAATTTCATTATTAAAAAGCAGCATTCCTTTTACAAAGCTTATTGTGCATATCATTGATTTTTGGAAAGCATATATTCACTTACAAAGGTTTTAATCCTTAACTTAAAGTAGGACTTTATTAGGATACAAGCTACAAACAGAACCATTTACCCACGTAAATATGAGCTGCTCCCTTGTCCAACGGTCACAGGGTATCAGAGACATAATGAAGACAGAGAGGAATTGGTTAATGATTAAACAGCGTAAGACATTAAAAACAGACACTGTCCAAAGAAAATTTTTGCATTATAGCACTGTGTGTTCAAGGCAGGAGAATAATTTGTCAAAGCTTCCAAATGAGCTAACAATGCTTCTGTTGTTGAATAATAATTTAGATGAAATAATTAAGAAATTCAAGTGGAAAATGGCCCTGAATTGAAAAGAATGTGTTGGGTGATCTAGTTGACATCAAGAGCCTCTTTCTCTATGAACAAATGGGGTACCCTTCGGAGTGTGCATGTAGTATATTTTTCACATATTTTACCATCAGTACAAGTTTTCTATTACTTCTGAAAACTAAGCACTTATTTTACATCAGCAATTATTATTTTATTACAGTAAAACAGTTATCTCACATATTTAAGAAAACCAAAGATGCAGATAAAGACATTGATCATTAAGAACACAGTGTTCCAATGTCATCACAGCGAACAATTATTAAAAATAGGAAACAAATGGCAAACTAATGATAACTCTGGCCCATTATTCAGTAGGTATAATAATATATTATTTTCCTCACCTTGAACACTTTGTTCTCCAGCATAAATTGGAACTTCCTCTCGAATCACCTTTTTAAAAAGGCCCCATAACACTAATTATAAATCAGGAAGCTGGTAAATGCTTATGGACCCATCATAAGTCTTTCATATTTTAATTTGTCGTCACCTGATCTCATTTGATAAAAACTGGCTTGTGGAATGATAAAAATGTTTAACTATTATAAAATATTTCTAATACACTTTAAATAATTTTGATAAAACATGAGATTAAAATATGTGTTCTTCATCTGTATCTACCAAATAGATTTAAAATTTCTTTACATTTACTTGGAATTTCCCCATGAGGCTACTTTTGATCTTCAATGAAATAATAATAAAAACCAAACAAAACTCCCAACAAAAATAGGATATTTTCTAGGGATTGACATATTGAATCAAAGAAGTTGGTATGCATATTTAACAAAAACAAACAAAGAAAACCCCAAAACTAAAAGAAATAACATGAGAATTTGAGACCAAACAATATTAACTGTGAAAAGGTTAAAACCTTTCTGTCATACTATAACAAAATGATTTAGCTCTTTTGATTAGAGCCAAGCAGTCAATATTTCTTTTCCATTGCATTCCTATGTATATATACTTAATATTTTGGGTTTAATACTTACATGTCTTCAATTTCTTTTTGTTGTGGAAACAGTGACAGGTTGATCCTTGCTTTGTGGCCTACTTTGGCTGCTAATAACACAGCACCCTCCATACTGAAATTGTTCAGAAGGTGGATGAGATGCTATTTGCTCTGTCCAGACAGAAATTTAGTTTATCAGAGAACCATTCATTTACATAGTTCTTTTTTAACAGGTTTTGGACAAACAAAGGGGATAAAAGGGTCTGACACTACTTTCTGTTACAGGATGTAGACATTTATGTATGATTAGGTTATTATGCTATTTCAGCTGTATCTTTGGGGTTTGGAAACAAAATAATTGCGAAGTATTTAAAGAATTCTCCACTTAAGAGAGCAGCAAATATTTGTTACAAATACTCTTCAGAAGTCCCCTGTGACACATATAATTATCATGCTCCTGGTTTTGCTTTATTAAGGTGGCTTTCAGCAAGTTAGCTGGAATCCTGACAGTTTATGGACTGATCTCCCATTTGGAAATTTTGTACCACTGCACAGTGCTAGTGCTTGTTTTGTTATGTTCTCCGGTCTATTTTTAAATATTTACTTGCAAGTTTGTAAATAAATCACTGCTAAAGAAACATCATTTGTTAATGACATTAAAAGTATTGCATGTATGATAAGAAATACAACCTTGGATCAAAAGCACTGTACTTCTGCAGATAATTAACCTAGGTCTGTGAAGGAACTGTATCAGCTTAAGTCAAAGACTTTGTAACAAAGGTTACCAGGCTCTCAACTTATTTCCAGTTGCCAGACTCCCCTGACGAAATTCTTAAATGCATCACTACCCACTAGAAAATTACCCTGGGAAAATGTTTTTGCAGGTATTGGGGTTCATCAGTGCTGGTCACTTTTTAAACATCACTTCCTAAGGACACAGGAGCAGGCAATTCCCAAATGTCACAAGTTAAGCAAATGAGGCAGAAGGTTGTCTTGGCTGAACAGAGATCTTCTCTTGGAAGTAAGAGGATAAAGGAAGGCATGTGCCTAGTGGAAGCCATGTTGGGTGACATAGGAATAATTCAGAGATGTTGCTTGCCACTGTGGGGAGAAAATTTGTTTGACCAAAGCTCAACTGGAGTTGAAGCTGTCAGAAATGTGGGGGACAATAAGAAAAGTTTTTTCAAATGTATTAATGGCAGTATAGAAATAACATCAGCCCATTACAGGATAGTCACCTCACAAACAAGGCAGAGGTGTTTGATGCTTTCTTTGCCTCTGTCTTCAGTACGGATGACGGACCAAGGGGGTCTCAGTGCCCTGAGCTGGAGGACCAGGACTGCAAGAATGATCAGCTGACTCTGAAACTGTGCGCAATCTACTGCTCCAATGGGATCCCTACAAACCTATGAATCCAGACAGGATTCATCTGAGAATCCTCAAAGAGCTACTGATGTCATCGCAAAGCTTCTCTTGATGATTTTTCAAGTGGTCTTGGGAATCCAGAGAGGTCCTGGCTGACTGGAAGCTGGCAATTTTCAAGACAGGCAAGAAGAAGGACCCCAGAAACTATAGGCCTGTCAGTCTCGCTTCAGTGCCTGGGAAAATCATGGAAAAGATTATTCTGGGGAGTATTAAAATACACCTGGAGGACAATGCAGTCATCAGTCACAGTCAGCATGGTTTCATGAGGGGAAATACCTGATTTCCTTCTACGACAGGATAATTCACCTAGTTGATCTAGTAAAGCCAGTAGATATAATCTTTTCACACTTCAGCAAAGTTTTTGATACTGTCTCACACAGTATCCTTCTGGACAAAATGTCCAGCACACAGCTGGACATCCATGTTATGCAATGGGTGAGCAAGTGGCTCACAGATTGGGCACAAAGAGTTACACTGAAAGGAGTAACATCAGACTGGCGACCTGTCACTAGTGGGGCTCTGCAGGGCTCCATCCTCAGCCCAGTTCCCTTCAGCATATCCATTAATGACCTGGGTGCAGGACTCAAAGGAATACTAAGGAAGTTTGCCAGCAACACTAAGTTGGGAGCAGCTGTCGACTCCCTTGAGGGCAGAGGCCCTGCAGAGAGACCTTGATAAATTAGGGGACTGGGCAATCACCAACCATAAGAAGTTCAACAAGGGAAAGTGCTGGATTCTGCACCTGGGATGGGGCAACCCTGGATGTACAGACAGACTGGGGAATGAAAGGCTGGAAAGCAGTGCCAGGAAAGGGACCTGGGGGTCCTGTTTGATGGCAAGTTGAATATGAGTCAGCAGTGCCCTGGCAGCCAGGAGGGCCAACCATGTCCTGGGGGGCATCAGGTAAAGCATCACCAGCTAGTCAAGGGAGAGGACTATCCTGCTCTGCTCTGCACTGGGGCGGCCTCACCTTGAATATTGTGGCAGTTTTGGGTACCACAATATAAGAAAGATATTAAGCTCATAGAGAGAGTCCAAAGCAGGGCAACAAGGATGGTGAAGGGCCTTGAGGGGACACCGTGTGAGGAGTGGCTGAGGGCACTTGGTCTGTTCAGCCTGGAGAAGAGGAGACTGAGGGGGACCTCATTGTGGTCTTTAATTTCCTCATGAGAGGAAGAGGAGGGGCAGACACTGATCTCTTCACTCCTGTGACCAGAGAAAGGACTCGAGGAAGCAACGTGAAGCTGAGTCAGGGGAGGTTTAGGTTGGATATCAAGAAAAAGTTTTTCACCCAGAGGACTGGAAAAGCTCGCCAGGGAAGCGGTCACAGCACCAAGCCTGACAGAGCTCAAGAAGCATTTGGACAATACTCTCAGTCACATGGTGTGACTCTTGGGTGTCCTGCACAGGGCCAGGAGCCAGACTTGATGATCCTGATGGGTCCCTTCTAACTCAAAATATTTTGTGATTCTATGATTAGTCAGACATACACTATGTATACTCTAAATACTGTGTTTAACATTTATACGCATAACTATAGCATCTGATGCATTCAATGCAGAGTTTCATATATATGCAACCACAATATTGTAGTTAATGTTCTAGTTGTAGGTAACTAATTGAATTTGGGTGACAAAAGGTAGCCAGGGGAAAGATCGTAAACAAAACAAAAGCTCTTTAATATTGTCTCTGCATTAAATTGCAGCTTGCAATATGAGCAGATAAATAAATAGGGAGCCCAGGATGAGTTCAGGTTTTCACAGTGTGCCTTCAGCATCTGATTTTCTACCAACTGTTCTGTAAAGTGATTATATACTTCTGCAAGATACAAATCAGTTGGTCTTTCCAGCTACACACAACAGGTAGTCCTGCCTTGATTGGATGTCTTGGCAAATTGCTTAATTAAGTCAATACTACAGCAAAATTCTGTGCAATCAGATTGTGACAAGGTATCACCTTGGTTGTGTCTTTCAGAAAATACACCTGAAAAGTATTTGTCTGCAGTATCAGCTGTATCTTCTTCTGAACAGCCATTTCTTTTGCCTTTTAAAGAATGAGATGGGACTAATCATCTTATGGTAACTACAAAGTCAATGTTAATTAGACAGTAAATGCATATTTTTACTATTGCAGCTGTTACTTGTCTCCAGTCACTTTAGAGAATGGATTTGGAATTCTATTTGTATACTTTAAAAGAATTTTAGGTTTGTTACATTAAGTAATTGAACCTTTCTCTTGCATTAAGTTCTATAAATCTGGCCTTTAAAAAATACCTACATTGACTGTTTATACAGTGTGTGACAGTTTTATGTATCTGTATGATTTTATGATTTGTCAAATATGTGTGCTCCACATGTTTATCATATATATATATACATGTAAACAATGTGTCTATAGTATCTTATAATTTCTGACTCTTTTTTTCAGCATAAAACTTGTATATACCTGCTGTTTAGCCTAATGATCACTTTTTCTTCTGTTCTAGTGCTTATGTACCAAAGACAGAAGCAGGTCATTGCAAGTGGGCAGAAGTTCTGAAAGACTTGGAGAAGATCAAGACATCCAAAGTAAGTTCATAAAAAGGTCAGCATTTTATATAATCATAGGTGAAGACAATTAAACATGTAGCACTGTACTCAGCTAGGAAGCAGGGAAAGGGATGGTGTTTGGTGTTTGTATAATGCTGTTTCATGGGTGGAAACAGAGGGTTAAAGGGAATTGGAATTCACCAAATACTGCAGACTCTAGAATTAAATATCATTTTCTCCAGCACTTTTCCTAAGAAAAGGGACAGTGGGCTTGAGAGTTAGCCCCTTCAGACAAAGTATTGTGACACTCAGTTCTGAGAGTCTCCCTCACAGTGAAGCCCATTCTGCAGGTTACTGGCTGACTTTAGGACCTGGCTGGATTTGGCCTTTGAACTTGGTAGCTAATCCATGTATTGAAGAGTAAGCTTTATTATCTCTAAATCTGTTAGCTAATGCTCCTAATTCCAACTCTTGTTTTCTTTTAGAATATTGATGTCAGTTTATATACTGCAAACACAGATGAGGATGTAAGTAAACTTTGAATTTGATCACAACTGGTCTAATATGGTGGCTCCATTTCTTTACTAGCAACTTTCTCCTAAAGCAGTCTTGGTCTAATTTGATAAAAGTTTCTAAAATGAAATAACTCACCTTGGAATAAACAGTTCTGATAATTAAATTACTTATGATAAATTATGTAAACAGATATTGACTACTTTTATTGAATCACCTGCTATTAAAATTAAATAATTGAAAGGCCATATTGGATGGGGCTTTGACAAACCTAGTCTACAAGAAGGAATCTCTGTGCATAGCAGTGGGGTTGGAACTAGAGCATCTTTAAGGTCTCTTCCACCCCAAATCGTTCAGTGATTCTCTGATCCAAAATTATATTCTCCAAGCAAACATTTCTAAAATAATGTTGGTATTCATTTGCAATTTAAAGGAGAGGAAAAAAATGACCCCAAAAAATGCAGTATCCATAAATTCATTGCTGAAGAGAGTTTTTCATAATCTATTGCTGTGGAGCTCAATCTGTGCTCCATGGGACACATGAATCCCACCAAGAAAATGAAGCCAACCAATCCTCCACTCCTAGCAGTCACCTTTGGCATAGCCCTGGAGGAATTGTCTGGATTCATTGCTGTGGTAGTAGCCTGCTCCTGAGACATTGCTTTCCTGACAACATAAACGTTCACATACAGACTGTCCCAAACACAGACAATCCATGGATCCTGAAGTTAAAGAGTACAGATATCCTAGACAAGATTTTTTTTCCATAATGAGGAAGGATATTCTAGAAACGATGGACTGACTACCTCAGCACAGAACAGTGTCAGAGTGCTTGCAGAGTGCAGCAATATTGATGTCTTCAGTGGAACTGGCAAGCCTGAGAAAGCACAGAACCTGATGTGTCTGTACATGACATGGAAAAAGCTCACAAAACACACGTCCACACCCGCACACACATTCTCTTAACTGAACCAAGCCAGAGAGGTTAATAATCCATTAAAACAGATTAATGTCAGGAAGATTTTCTTACACTGGGACAGTATGATATGGAAGTCAGACGAACAACCTGGGACTTATTCTTGGCTTTATTGTTGACTTGATGGAGAAATTAGTACCTCTGCCTCTTTTTCTTTAATTTGTTAAATACGGGTAATATCTGGTTCCTCTTCTCCCCTACCCATTCTCAATTCAGATCTCTGAATGAAAGTGTTAAAATTTTTAAGAATAATACTAATTTAATTCCACTATGTTTAATTATATCCCAAACTTCTGTTCTAATTAATTATTTTCCTATATCCTTCACTAAAACACTACATTTCACTCATCTAGGCAAACTGGCTGGCCTTTTTGTTTTTAGGTCTCACAGCCCATCTCTGCTGATATTTAAAAGTATTTGAATAATAAGAAAAGATATCTAGTAAGTAAAACTCAGCCACTTCCAGGCTGATTGTATCTTAAATGGTATCTTACTTATATCATAAATTATATCATAAATTATGTCCTACATTCACTTATTCCTTTTTATTCGTAAAACTATTACAACTGCATTTTTTTTTCAGGAAGAATGCCAAGAACCTGTAATGAGATGCTTTTTCTTAGAGACAGAAGTGATTATTCAAGAATGTCGTATCAAAAATTGTAGTGAAACACAGGATGTAGTGAACATATGGAAAAATGGAAATGCAAGTTTAGAAAATAAAAAGGTAAGTAACACTAAGCGTCTGTGGGAAAAAGGCAAACGAAAAATGTTTCCTCAGCAGCAGAAATACCTTTTCTGTTTTATAAAATGTGGGATGTTGCAGATGAAAACAAATGAGATCCATCAGCCTGTACAGGGAACAATGAAAAAGCTGAGTTCAATGGTTTTTTTAGAAAAACACTTTCAGGATTCCCATCAAAGCAAATGCTTTTGTGCATGCATAAATATGTCAGGATGTCTGAATGTATAATTAACAGTTTGTAACTTCAGTTCCTAAAGTCAGGTATGCTTAGACACATGTAGAGAAGTGTCCTAATTTTCAAAGGGACCATTTGCATCTCTCACTGAAGTGATGTATCTTCGAAAGCTGATCCTATTCAGAAAGTAAGCCAAGAACTGCACAGACCATAAGTACCACCAATGTTTTCTGTGGCCACTATCTGCATTGGAATTATCCATATAAACAGGACAAACAACTTAATTCTCTATCAGAACCAATAGATTAGTATCCTGCTTTACTATTGCATTTTGTTTTTCAGTTGAATTCCACAACATCAGCAAAATGCAAAGAATGTGAAGAATACGAAGAAAAAAGTTTTACAGAATTTATACAGAGTTTTGAAAAGGTTATACAGAGGGACTGCAAACACTGACCAAAAGACACAAGTTGGGAAACAAGATTCTTCCATAAACATTCTCAGAGAAATTAGGTTATCACCAACAATAAATTGGAAAAAGAACATCATTTACAATACTCATGGCTATCTCTTAATATATTTATTTCTACTGTGGTTTTCAGGTAAACCCAGTTACTTGTTCTACCAAAGAATTAAAAGTCAAAATTTAGAATATTTATTTCTTCCTTGCCTTTTCCCCCTTTTATACAATGATAGTATAAGAGTATTAAAAATTTTCTTCAGTCTTCTTACAGAAGCTAAAGCTGGTGCTTGGTTCCTCTGTCCAAGGACAACATGTTTTTTTACTTCATTTATTACCTCTGACACTGACACTACTGGGGTCATTATGGAAATGACTATGGTTCCTTTAGCAAATACCAAAGATTTCAATCTAAATTTAAACCAAAACAGTGTTAATTTCATTCTCTAAATCATGGAGCTGACCAAGTGTTTCACATACTTAAAAAAAAACCAAACTAAATTCTAGGTTGTAGAAATCTTTCCTATGTAGCAGAGTTTGTAGCTTTGGTCTCCTTGTGGGAAAGAACTTTGAAGACAGGAATCACTTTTGACAAGCTGGAAATCACGATAACTGTATTTCCAAGATTCAAGGCAGTCACCTGTCCTCTGGTACTTCTGAAATGTTGCAGAGCCTTCTTTCAGCTCTTTCTAAACTAACTGCTTTCTTCGTGATTCATATCCATGTCGTACCAACTGCTATCCATAATAAGTAATTCTTTCCCCCAGGCACCTCCATTTCTGTGTCTTCATTTGATAAATGGCTGAGTGATTCAGCTGTCCACTTACCAGGAGGGAAGTCTCAATCTCATCAAATACACTGCCTGGTACTCTCTTATTGTTAGGTTACTCCCAACAGTCAATCTTTAGCACTCTGGGCAGATGAATCTCCAGTAAACTGCAAGAGAAAGAACATAAATGTGAGCACATGGGTTGTCATCTTCCAGGGGACTTCCAGACAAACAGATCTGTAAATTCATAAACACATTTATATAAAGATTAATCACCCATAGAGGTATCACAGGAGAAATAAATTATTTACCACCACAAACCATCAACAAAAGCAGTGTTTGTTACATAGCTTGGATGAAGTAAACTGGTCCTACCTCTTAAAGTTTTCCTTAAAACAGTGTTAAGCATTGAATATGATTTTCTCTTACCTAATGTCACATGCACAGGCAAGGTAACCAAGTTGCAAATTTGGTCTTTCATCAAAGAAATTTCTTTATTTCTAGCTTCAGGAGAGCTTCAGACACAGAACAGCAGCATATTTATGATGGGAGAAACAAACAGCTGCTTTGCTCAGAGTTTTCTTTATCTTGACCATTGTGAAAATTAATCACCTGCTTAATTTTGTTTTGTTTTTCATTAAATCATTCACCAGTGGCAAGTAGGTTAAATACTGTGAATTTGTCTTTCCATAAGAACATTACTAAGTTTGTGACCACTCAGCTTGCCACCCTGTTAGCCACTTTCTGCTGGACACTGGCCATATCCTTTTTATTTCATCTATTCCAGATGCATATCCTAGGATGAAAAAAGGCCATTTGCTAATCTAGCTCTCCAGCCTTTCTCCTTGGGCTTACTTTTTCCTGAGAGCTAAGCAGCCAACTGAAAGCTTTACTACCTCCTAAATCCTATGGTTATAAAAAATTATCTGATTGGTATAATGGATGAAGTAAATTAAGGCCAGGGCGGTTTTGTGTTTTGTTTTGGTTTTGGGGTTTTTTTTTGTTTTTTATTTGTTTTTTGGGGTTTTTTTGTTTGCTTGTTTGTTTGTTTTTGTTTTGGGTTTTTGTTTTTGTTTTTTGGTTGTTGTTGTTGTTTTTTTCCAGTGAAGGAATTCATATATCTACCAGAGGAAAAGTTTCAATATGACTAAGACATGGATGCATCTGATCTGACTTTTTAGTACTGCAGGCAGAACAGGCAGAACAGTAAAAACTAAGCCAAGATGCCTACTTTTGAAGTAAACATTTCTGGGTTGAAGGAGGCATTTCTTCTACACGAGGTCTAGTCATTTGCATGGCATTTACTAGCTAATATTTTCCAACTGCTGTGGGCAAATGGTAAGAGAGAGATTAATACTCTATTTTCTCTAATTAATCCAACTCAGTTTGGGATTAAGGTGACTCACAGTGGATTGTTTCCATTTACAGAACGAAAAAGAACTACCTTTTGACACAGAAGTTTTGGACTGCATAATTCTATGTTCCTGACTTTGCAATAATTTAAAATCTACTTTTCCTTTCCTAATATTCAGTATCCGTATTTCTGTCTATATCTTAACAGGATAACGCAACTAGCACTAGTGCAGGTGGCGTCTGACATCCTCTACCTTCTTGATGTTTTATTGGACCCTGAAGATAAATATGGGTTGCTCATCAACACAATGTTGTCTCTAGTGGCTCTCAAATATTTAAGCTCTTCTTGATCAGATATTGTTCAGATGATCTCACAGAGGTTTTAAAGTCCTCACAGTTTAAAGTCACTTCTGGATCAGCATCAGTATATTTATATGAGGACTATTGGCCATAACGCCTCCCTCTTAAAACACAGGAGATAATTTAACCAGTCTAGGGTAAAATGAAGCAGTCCAGATTTTCTTTTAAGCAGTCCATCTACACTGCATGATCAATAGATTTCAGTTACTGCCAAGTCCAACTGCTGTTTATGATTACAGGGCACAGTATGAATTATCCATTTCATTTCCCTAGTAGATATTTGAACCTTAAAAGTAGCACCTGACAGTTTCCCAACAATTTTTTTAATCAGTTCAATTTCTGAGTAAGGTTATACAGCGTTTTAATTATGCTAGCAGTATGGCATTATCACTGATGCATACACTAAAGAGTGGTTTTCTCTGATACCCAGAGTAAGCTTTTACACCCTGAGTGGCCCTTCTTAGGCATTTACATATGAAAGTCTGTAATTTAACATATTTAAATTCACACGTGTAAATAATTAATCACACTGTAATAATTAATCACTACCCAGGAGTAGTGGTCCATTTGTCCCTTCTCTAACCAAGGAGATGCTATTTTAATGGGCAAGATGCTTTCAGTGAAAAGCCAAAAGCCACAGGAAGGAACCTTAAGAGCAAGTAAAGTGCAGGCTAATATATTTCTCCAGGTCTGTAACTGATGGTCTGTTTTGCCCAGGCAGAAACAGGTGATTCCTCATTTGTCTTGAGTGATGGTATGAGCGGCTTCTTCTTTTTCTCCAAAGGGATTGAGAAAAGTGTTCACTGACACTCATTCATGTGGAAAGGAGAACTTCGTGAAAGCCAGAGTCACTAAAGGTATTGGAAAAAGGAAACTTCTGAACTGCAGCTACCTTTCTTGTTAGGAGATTCACTGTTTTGAGGAAAATATAAACAGTGGAATTCTTGGCCTGCAGTGAAGCAGTTGAGGGCTTAGTAGCCATTTCATATTATCCATCTTGTTCATGTGACTATGTAAGAAAAATAACAGTGAGAAACATACTTTAGGATCCATCCAGTTCCATGTGGCAAAAACTCAGAGAGACAATGCGTATTTGAGTCAGTCAGCCCAATGTACAGTGGTAACACTTCCAAAGGAGGGCACATAGTGTATTTAATACATATATCAACAGGCATTCTCCATGGATAAAGCAGCATGTCAGCTGCTTCAACTCTTCAACTAAGGGTTCAGGTCCAACATTTACTAGAAGCCAGGAAGGGTAGTGTAGAAGCCAGCACTGTGTATGTTGATTTAAACTTCCGGAAGCAACAGCCTGATTTTTTGTTTTGTTTTGTTTTTCCTGCTGCAGCTTTCTAAACAGGTCCAGCAGAGATTTCAACAGAGACTCAGGGTTTTTTTTCATAAGTCTGTGAAGTTTAAGCATGTGAAAAAATATTGATATTGGGGTATGTCTTAACAGAAAATATCATGAGTTACCATTGCCTGCATGTTTTGACAGTTGTATTTTTGGGTGCCAAAGATCTGTTCTGTTTTTCAGTACTTCTGCCTCTAAGTAGGAATACTAGACATGCCTGTGCAGCAGATCATAGGGACACAAGTGGCTACACTGGAACAACAATATTACCTCCTATCACACCAGAGGATTAGTGAATGTTTCCAGAAGTATCACCTATTTTATAAAGCAAGGTAAAGGACATTTGCATTAACAAAGAAAATTACTGCCCAGTAGGTTATGGCCTTCATGTACCCTGCCTAGGGCAAAAGCATACTGCAAATTAGCTCTCCTAAGACACATAGCACTAGATAATCACATCACTACCTGTTCCAAGTATGTAAATTACATGTACAATTGTTAGTCAACTCATTTGTTTAGGCAGCTGTATCATAGTTATTGTGCTTCTACTGTCCACTAAACCCAAACTAAGTGCTCTGTCATCCTAGTGAACCTCGTTCTCTGACATAAATCCTTTCCCAGTTTAATGTGGGCAACACCACAACAAAATGAAGCTATTAATATTTTGTTCCATTTCTCATAGGAATAATATGGAAAAAATATGGAGGAACAATATGACCGTAAAGTAACCTAAGATTAGCCCACCTGTAATTATTAACAATTCCAATATCATGAGATTTGCTTTCATCACAGTTATACTCAAAGGTGACTGAGCTGCCAACCTCTTCCTTGTAGTATTGGAAAGATGGGAAAAATGAAACATCCACTACAGGAACAAGAGCAAACAGGAGAATGGAAAATAGGTGAAAGTCACCTTAAATGATATCAGTGAAAAAAAATTATTCCAACTTACTGTGAACCCATTGCATCACTTCTTTCTGAGTAGCAGAATTCACTCAATTAAAAAAAGGAAATTTGTCTGGAATTCCAAAGTTGAACAGTAAAATTTCAAAGTGTACTTCCGAGAACTGCAGTCAAATCGTTCATGTCTTCACATAAACAGGCCCCAAAGGCAGCTTTCAGAAGACTTTGGAAATTCCCATCTGGAATCTCTGAGCCAAGGTAAATTGGCAGGAGGATTAAGCATGTGAGAATGAATTTGTTGCTCAGAATGAATGGATGAAATCAAAGCAAGAAACACAAATTTCATTAG